TGGCCCCTTGAATAGATTTTTGATTGCTTTGGGGGTGAAGTAGAAGCACTTCATGTATTTTGTAGACTTCCATATGATCTAGTCCTTGTTTTCAGCACTTTGGCCATAATTTCTTTCTTCCTTTCTTGTGTTCTGCAATCCAAGTACACTGAAATCCTTTCTGTCCACATTTCTTTTTTTAAAAATTTGCTAGAGGATGTATGTGTTCACCAGAGAAAGAGAGAAAATACCCCCCCACCATGAAGTAAGACCACACTACAATTCTTTCTCCATTTCTCCCTCCTTTCAAGATTTCGAGCGTGCATGCGCGTGCGCGCGCGCGTACACACACACACACACACACACACACACACACACACATATGCTTGTTGTGTTTCCCAAACTTCCAGTTTCAGGACTCAGACCTCTCAGTCTGACATGTGGGATCCAGCTCACATAACCACCAGGCCACAGGCCAGCCCAAGACACATTTCTTTAGCTTCTTGTAAGTACTATGTGCTCTGCTGAGCCCTGAGCATACTTTGTTAGAGCAGACCTGTCCTCTTTGGGGGAAGGGGGATAGGAACTCTTCTAAAATTCATTTTAGCTTTTGAAAGCTCCCCAGTTCAGGAAAGCTAAAGGGCTTCAGAACCCACAGTAAACTTGAAATGTTAACATGTACCTATGGTTAATGGTTACTCTTCCACTTCAATAATTATCTGGGGTCTTAATGTTTTCTTTTTATCACAGAATTGAAAGATCTCAAAGAATTGACTTTGAATTTCAATGGTGAACAGGCTTAACAGTTACTAGAGGGGGGAAAATCTAAGGAGAGGAAAATGTGCTTAGCATCTCATTTTGTAAGCTTCTCGGAATCTACTACCCTTGAGCCTGTGCCATCTTCTCCACTTGTTGCCCAATGACAGTTACAGAATGATACACTCGTGCCCGTGCTTTGCCATCCATAAGTTTTAAAAAAAGGAGAATGAGACCCAGAAGGTATTTGTCTGGGCTCTCCAAAGTAGAAATGTGTTAAATAGCTGGGTTAAGGGTTTTTTTCCCTTCCTTCTCTTTCCTCTTCAGTATGTTAGGTTTTATCACTGCCTTTTAATATAATGAAAACATTTGCTTCAGTAGCTTTTATTTTTAACTTTTTTAAGTTGTGTTTTTCTTTTGGCTACTGGGTTCATGTGCTCACCAGAGAGACAAAGAGAGGGAAAGTGAGAATTCACCACCCAGGGAGGTATGGCCATGCCACATTCTTTTCTCTTTCATTTTCCTCTCAGGATTTGGGGCACATGTGCATGCATGCCAGGCATGATTTTCAAGCTGCCAGTCTGAGACTTAAACTGCGGTTAACCATGTGGGAGTCCAGCACTTTAAGCATCACTCCACCTGCTGATCCCTTCTGTGCCTTTTATATATTAAGCAGTACATCCTACGAATCGCTGCGCATGGGTCAGAGTGCATACATTTCCTTTCTCTCACCTCGGATTTATTTAGCAAATATTTCCTGAGCAGTAAGTGTTTAAATGAGTGCCTTTGAAATAAAGAGCTACCAACAGGTAGAAATGGGATATGCTGCTTAAGATAATGGCTTCCGGGCCAGCCTTTTAATGTAATGAAAACATTTGGTGGTTAAGGCAGCTGGATTTCACATGGCCAATTGCACAGTTCGAGCCATTGGCTCAAAAAACACACTTGGCGTGTTGGCATGCATAC